CAGTCATGAAATGTAAGCATTAAACTTAGCAGTTTGCAGGATGCAAGAAGAACTATTTGTAAGACCCACATCTAAAAGGAATCCATTTGTTTTTGGAGATCCCTGACATTGAAGAACAGTCCGAAATTAAACATGTGACTAGAAACTATAGCCCCAAGGATGAAATCTTGATCAAAGATAAAGCATTAATTGAGTTCATTAACAGCAACATTTGATCAGAACAGTATTAACTGACATTCTGCTAGCTCTTCTTAAAGGAAGTGAGTATAGAAAAGGATAACTGTGAGGAAAGGAGTGAGTGGGGGAATGAGCCCCAAGGATAGTTTTTGGCATAACTCAGAGGTTGTCAACCACAGGTACACATACCCCCAGGGAGACCTGAGAAGGCCCTAGGGGTTATGTGCAGCTGGGTGGGGATGAAGCGCCACCATGCACCATCCTGTGCTGCCACACAGGCACCGCCCACCTGGCCAGACATGGGGGAAGCTCACATGATGGCTGCCACCGCTCAGCCATGTGCTTCCCTGTCCCCCGCCGCCCAACTCCACGTCCATACACCAGGGGTACACTGCTCCATATCCAGCCGCCAGGGTACACTGATCTAAAAAGGTTGAAAACCCCTGGCATAACTCAAAGTCCTGTAGCTGGCTCAGACTACCAGTCATGTTAGACTCCAATGTAATTTTTCCTATTAAAATAACTTTTGAACTCACAGTATAACAGTCCTGAATCTCTGAGGTGGCATCAGTATTTGCCTCCTTTTTTTTTGTTTTTTTGATGGAATGTTTTGCAAATGTTCGAACTGCTGATGCCAACAGCCCATCAGACCACTCCATGGTGCTAGGATCAGTCTGTCCAAAGAGCTCTCCAAGACTGACACACTTAGGGTTTATAACAAAGCTTTCTACTTTTCCCTTCTTTGTTGAGTTCTGAAGTGAAGAAAAAAAATGAATTGCAGAATTTATGTCCTAGTATTATTTTAAGTCTAATTCAATCACAAGGCCTTTAATCCTGAGACTGAAAAGGCACTAGGCACAGGCTTTGAAAGCCTGGCTTCCTAAGTTGTTTTGTGACATAAATAAAACAAATTTTGCTGGCAAAGACTGGTACTAACTTGACACTTATCTGCTTTGCAAAACCACCATAGAATTCTGGGGGAGAGGAGG